AATGAACTGATTTACATTGTACGGAATATTGGTCTTTTCTTTGCAATTCGTGCTTTATGCGTATTACTTAAAGAGGGTTTTTGATTCATCCATGATACCCCACCATTCTCCCATGTTATCCCACCACTCTCCCTTATTATCCTTGTTATCCTACCACTTTCCCATGTTATCCCACCACTTTCCCTTGTTATCCTACCATTCTCCCTTGTTATCCCACCACTTCCCCTTGTTATCCTACCACTCTCCGTTGTTATTCCACCACTTTCCCTTGTTATCCTACCATTCTCCCTTGTTATCCCACCACTTTCCCTTGTTATCCTACCACTCTCCGTTGTTATCCCTCCACTTCCCCTTGTTATCCTACCATTCTCCCTTGTTATCCTACCACTCTCCGTTGTTATCCCACCACTTTCCCTTGTTATCCTACCATTCTCCCTTGTTATCCCACCACTTCCCCTTGTTATCCTACCATTCTCCCTTGTTATCCTACCACTCTCCGTTGTTATTCCACCACTTTCCCTTTTTATCCTACCACTCTCCGTTGTTATCCCACCACTTTCCCTTGTTATCCCACCACTTTCCCTTGTTATCCCACCACTTCCCCTTGTTATCCTACCACTCTCCGTTGTTATTCCACCACTTTCCCTTATTATCCTACCACTCTCCCTTATTATCCTTGTTATCCTACCACTCTTTGCACACCTCATTGCACACCGCATGATACTACTCATCTCACTTAATTCATCTATGTGCAGCGAAGTAAATTCTCTTTTTTGCATGACATAAATGGATAGCTTTAAAAACAATTAGAAATGTTGTCGGAGTGTGTCAAAACATATCGACAGATAATTTCTCAGAATGGACTAAATTTTATTTTGTTGTCATAGATTTCTTTTACATTTTCCAGAATTTTGGTCGAAGGAATCGGGCTATATCCACTAGACTAGATATGAATGGTAGACGGTACGGATATGAATGTAACGAAGAACGAGAGTACTATCCATACTGGCACCCCACACCTTGGA